TCAAGGGTCTGCCACGTGGATGTGTAGTGGTGTTGATGTGACACCTGTAGGGCTCGCCACGTGCCAAGCATAATATAGATACCTACATTAATGCCCCATTGTACAGATATTCTCATGAGAGTGTCTGTACATATATGACAAAGATGTCGAAAATATAAATCATGCAGTTAATAAAGTTTGATTTCTTTTGAATTAAAGGGAGAGATACATTTTAATTTCATCTAGCACGAACTGGCCGGACAAAAATATGGGCTCGTTGGGCGATGACCTCATTCCACGGGATCTTTATTACTTCACATGAGATTTTAGTTTTGTTCCATAGGCACCAAATCCCACTTACTCTTTCCATGCCGCTGGGAGGTGGGTTCATGGTCTTGGTGTTGGAATAATCCATGATTTTACTCATAAACTGGGCTTCACTTTCTTTATTTTTTGTGTTTGTAATGATGATAAGATCGAAGCGTCCATAAGAGTGTAGGTGCATGTAGTGCTGTAGGAAGCTAGGGCGAGTGACGCCCTCAGTGTTAAAAAAGAGGATGCTAGAGCGGAGTGTTGTGGGGAATGCTTGGATGAGCGTTGCGGGAAGCACTCTCTTCTCTAATGTTGAGATCTGCAAAGTTCTTTATGTCCCATCCAAGGTCCAAATCTTCATTTGGGTTTTCCAACGGTGCGGACATGATGGAGATGTGGTGGTCTAGATCTCTCTCTGTCGGTCTTTGCGAGATGATGTTGATTTGGATCCTTGCGAAATGTGGGATCAATTCCTGATTTGCCTTGCAGGTGGATCCCTGGAGAGTGAGGTTGCCTTCTTGGTTTAGCAAAAACCAAGTGTAGAACGGTGGTATTGTGTAGAGTTTTGGAATGGTTAATGCCTTTTACTGTCCTCTTATTTTATCCTGTAATTCTTTCGGCTCCTCTATGACGGTATATGTGGATGTTGGGTGCTGGATTCGAGGAGATTCGAATAGCAAATCTTGGAATTACCATGGAGGCATGGAGAGCATCCTTCGAAAGAACTCACACAGTGGGTGGCGGTGGTGAGTAGAAGTGGAGTTCAAAGCTCTGGAGTTGGAGCTTGAAGCTCTATATTTTGAACCTCTGTGGTTTGGAGCCTTGTTCACTGGCCGCCAAACGGTGTTATCTCGGTGTCCCTCTCCTCCGGAAGCCATTTAGAGAGAATGGGTTGTTGAAGTTGAGAGGAGAGTGTTAGCAATTGGATATGAATTTGCTTGTGTTTTTTGTTTTGTTGTGTCGTTGTTCTGTATTTGCTCTCGTATAAAGATGGGATTGCATCGGGAAAGAGGGGGGAATTTACTAACTTTTGCAACTTTACATTGGGAATGAGCGATCTATGGAGAGGACAACTCACCAATTGAAGTTATAGGTTTAGAGTAGACCATTAATAGCTACTAATTTGGAGCGGCTCATAGTATCTTGTGATAGCTTGTGTAACTATTAACAAAGTGACTTTTTGGAGAGTTTAAGGTTTTTGTAGTTTGTTTTTAATGTTTTTAACAAGAAAGAGAATTTTTGATTGGTTTAAGGATTTTTCCCTGGGAAGGTACAACCTCAGTATGCGGGTATACAATTTTTTTTTTCCCTTTTTGAAGCTCCTCGTTCCGCTTGAACATTGCATTTTTGCCGCAAAGAATCTATATTTCATATGAATTCATAAAAGTTTGTGTATATTCTGGGTATAGTTTGAACTTGGTCAAATAGGGAGCTCGCCTTTTTACAGAAATATGTATTCTGGAGTTTTGTGTATTCTGGTTACTTCTTCCATCTTTTCCTTTTATCCATTGTGCAGGGATTATATATACATTTTATTTTATTTTTTATTTATTGAATCTAGATTAGATAGGGGCTCTGTATTTTCCAGCTGGTTGCTCCGTCTTCTCCTTTTACCCATTGTACAAAAGGATGTTTTATTGACTAGGTTACCCGTAGCTGGGTTTCTTAGGTTAGTGTACCGTTCAGAAAGCTGTTTGGCAAGCTTAGGGTTTGCTGTACTATTCTTTTGAGTTTGGGTCTAAGTTTTCCATAATCTCTCAATCCAAGTTGAGTTCTGGGTTTCTTCTCATTCCAAGTTGAGTTCTGGGTTGCTTCATTCTCTTTCCAAGTTGAGTTCTGGGTTTTCTATAGTAGGCCACACCGAAAGCTAATAATTTGTCTGATGAAGATGGGGGGACAGAAGTTGTGGAAGCAAAGGCTGGAAAGGGTTCAGCAACACTCTCAATGGGGTAAGTTTGGGCTGATACTCACTTGTTTGTTTTATGGGTTCTTAGATACACTGGAATCTGTATGGTTAGTGTTATGACTTCAAGTTGCTATTTTGACGAATAGACTGGACGGTGTGATGGGATTTTGATGGCTTTTGCCCAGATTTTAAATATTTTGACTAAAGCTTGTGAATAATCTACAGTGGATGATTGGAAGGTTAAAGACTAGTTTTATGCTCCTGAATACATTTTCATTTTACTTGCTTATGTTTGTGATTTCAAGAGACATTGAATTAGCAGTCATTCATCATGAATTTTGGTGATTTGTGGCTAGCTTTGAGGTATATGGTCAACTAAATTGTGTCCTGGGATACTACTTGCAGACTAATTTGAATAGCTGAGAAACATGCTTCTCTTTTTTGAATTGTCATAAATTGCCGAAATTTTTCATGAAAGCTCACTCTGGTTTAGTTTTTAATTTTTATCTCTTGAATTTTCTACACTTCCTGTGTTGATGTTTGGTTGTTGCATTTATGAAGTGACGCTAATCCATGAAGTATGTTATTCATTTAGTTCTGTTGTTTTTTGCCTTGTGAATTTGTACTGCTATGTGGTTTATTGTGATTCTCTCTCTCTCTCTCTCTCTCTCTCTCTCTCTCTCTCTCTCTCGTCCCTGCAATTGTATATATGGTAGTGGAAATTACAAGGTCTAGAATTTGGTAAGTGATTCCTGACTTTTGTGTTTCATGCAGCTATGCTGGTGCTATTTTTGCTGATGCTTGCTTGAAGGGTCTTAATGGGGTTCCAGACGTTGTAGGATGTACATTCGTGCAGTCAAGCATCACTGAACTGCCTTTCTTTGCTTCCAAGGTGACAGACTTCAACTTAACTGTGATATTATTTATTTACTTCTTACTATTTTGAAGAAACTGATGGGTAATGTCTTATTTGCCCTCAAAGTTCTTCCTAAGCCTTGCTTTAACTTAGGAAAGTGTCATTGCATTAGGGTGCATAATAATGAGGGTTTGAGGAAGTGGAGAATGTGCTTGTACTGAGTTAATGTGCCACATGAATGGAGAGTGTTTTGATATGCTCTCAGTGTCGCAGTCAAAGGCCAAAGCACCAAGTGCTTTGGTCTACACTTAGGGACTAATGTGACTAACCATATAGGGAGCAAAGGATGGCATGGCATGTGTCTTCTTATTTGGAGGTTCACCTTATAGCCTCAAAGTTTATTTGACAACTCAAATTTCCTGATATTTCTAGTTCACTGTACATGGTGCATTGAAGGTTGAGGGTGTTTTTATGTATCCATTTAGAAATGCTACACTTTTGTTCTTGAAAATTGTTTCTATTTTTGAGAACTGATATGAAAACAAAATTTACAAATTTTTTTGTTTCCTATGCTTGTTTTGGTATTTTTCTTTTTTAAAATTACTTTTTTGTTTTGTGTTTTTAGAAACAAAAAATGATGAAATGCTCAGAAACACCATCATTTTCAATTTCATATGAAAACAAATAATTTAGGTAGCAATTTAAGATCGTTTCCTAGGTTTTTTTCACATAAATCAGTTTTCAGAAACGAAACCACTTGCGTTTGAGTCCTATATACAATAAAATCTTATAATGTTGTTTGAGATGATTTGCCCAAGGGTGACAATAATTCTTTGGCAGCTGGGTAAGGCTAAAGGGTGGTGTTAGTTAAAGGTACTTGCATTGGATGTTTAGAATTGCCATGAATGAAGAATTTCAGTAAAGGCATCTCACATCCCTCTCTCTTTCGAAGTTTTGCATGTTTGATGCTTGTCCGTTTGATATCAGTTTGGATGCCCAACTCAATGCCCTTCTTTGATTTGTTCTAGAATGTGGAAATCATTCATGCAAACTTATTTCTAGAGAATATATAAATTCCTCATTTTTTGAAGGAAAATGTCTCGTAGCTCAAATTTTGTGGCTCAAAAGTGGCTCAAATGGCCAAAACGACGTCGTTTTGGCCATTTTTATGTTGTTCTGTACTTAAAACGACGTCGTTTTGGTCATTTGAGCCACTTTTGAGCCACAAAATTTGAGCTACGTAGCATTGTCGTTTTTTGAAATGCGGCTTCCACCATTCCTTGGTATTACGAAATAGCTTTCAATTGCATTATTATTTCACAGTATATGATGCATTTATGCTACATATTATCTAAGGTCTGTAGTCTGGCTTTTGTATTTTGTTTGACTTTACCATCAATAACATGGTCTGTTATCTTTCATGTGTCCCGTCACTGTCTGAATTTTTGGTTAGTCTCTATTCCTGGATTCTTAACTGAATGAGTTTATTGGTGTTTGTTTCACCCTTGATTTTTTTCCACAGAACAAATATTCTTTGGGGGTGTTTTGGTATTTTTGCCTTGAGAATGTTCTGAAGTGGTTACTATATCTATGCCTGCAGGTGAGGCTCGGGAAGAATGGCATGGAGGAAGTTCTAGACTTGGAGACTCTTTCAGACTATGAAAAGCAAGGATTGGAAAGCCTCAAACCCAAGCTCAAAGCCTCCATTGAGAAGGGAATCAAGTTTGCCAACCAGAGTTGAAAGAATACATGGCTGTTGAGATGCCCATCTCTATCCCCTTGTTGAGAGAACCAATCAAATTTTGCATATTGTTCACTAGTTTTGTATCATTCATAGAGTTCTGTTGCTGCCAGCGGAACCTGTTTTGCTGTTGGCCAAAGAGTAGGCCTAATTTAGACAATATTTACCTTATAATATCCATTGAAACACAATGGAGCAGTGACAAATGAGATATTATGTTCATTTTTGAAATTGCATATCGACAGTCAGAATTGGTCTTGCCCCAGAATTTAGAAGAGAACTTGTGCAAAACTAAAAACATGAAGAAGCATAGTCTGCAGAGCAACTCTAATGACCTAAACTGTTCTATTACTGGCAATGACAAACAAAAAAAACCTAGCATGAATTCTTCATAACTGAAAATTTACAGCAGTTCTTGCTACACAAAAATGTCTCCCACCACAGCCACCATGGCGGCCACAACCAATTGTTCTCGCATATTTCTTTTTGACCAGAGAAAACCTCCTTTAAGCCTTGGCCTGCAGGATCAAGTGATGGTAAGGATTCTATAAGTCGTGCACACCTTGTGCAGTTCCTGCAAACCATGAATCTCCAAAACTGTAAGGTGGGTGTCAGTGTAGATCATCATCTGGCCAAGGTATATTCTGCCAAATTGATAAAAATATATGTATCAAGATGTCAGCCAAAGGCATGTCAAATGGACATAAAGGAAAATAAAGAAATAACCCATACAAATCAACACAGGTTACACCATTTGGAAGTCTTTCATGATATACATTTATGATATGCCATGCCACACATACAATTTCATTATCTACCAGTTAAAACTTCATATTTACTACCTCATGGTCATATCTGTGTGCAAAGGTATCATTCTTCCAAACACAATTTTGTCCTCAAGCTAAAAGCTTCGGGTTTTAAAACTCAAATTTGTCCATTTTTGGGGTTTGACCACCAATGTGACCAATGTTCATTTGATAAAGAAATAATAATAACCTATATGTCAGCTTCAGGCAAAGAAATCAAGAGCAATTTCAGTCCTTCATTATTGACCAATAAACATATTATAGCAAATAAAAATACGGATATTTCCCTGTACATTTTAACTATCTAAGTACAATATTAAGATTTCCTACCTTGATGAGACCCTAAGGTAGATACCATACACAAACCATGGAATGACTTCCTCTACAGTTCTATTTTTACTAACTTGCACTGAATTTAGCTCAAATAGCCATTTCTCTAAAAAAAATGATGCAGTTCACTGGATGTCATGTTCTTGACATAAACCCTAGGTAAAGAAAGCATCAAGAGACGTTGCAGCGAGAAGGGAGGGCAAGAAAGGTAATGTAACCACGTATATGTGAATTGGAGAAAAATCTACTGGCTTTAACATTCGCTACATCTTTATACCACTCTCTTCCTGAAGGGTAAGGTCTGATTGAATTTTTTTTTACCATTGAAAAGAAAATGGCAGTCCATCATGCCTGCCACCCATTTCCAACCCAAAGTTGTTCTACTAAACTACCGCACAAGCCAACAATCTTCATGTACATGGTATTTATAAACAGTCAAACATAAAAAAAAGGGTTAAACTTAAAATTCAGAACAGTGCCTCCTACCTTAATGGAATCCACTCAATTCCTAGGTGAATGCCCTGCATCTGATCCATATGCAGAGGAACTATCACTATCGGAATCTGCAAGTAGAGTATGAGATTCGATTAATAAATGTATTTCACAACCAAACAGAAACCCTTAAAGGGCATTCGAATTACAGTGAATATATAGATATACAAATACTGCATAATAACTAAAACAAATAACATTTACCACTTGAAGAAGAACCAGAGTCACTGCTAGAACTGCTAGAACTACTTGATCCACTAACATTATCCCCTTGAGAAGGAAAAGTGGAGGCATTCTTTTCACCTGCATATACAGTAGTGCAAAATGAATATGCTGCCATTTATACCATTAAATGAAAATAAAATATCAAAAGTCACCAATCCTCTTATTTCCCGAACTCTCACCTGTTTTAGATTCTTTTGGTGCCTCTGCAGTGGCTGGAGCTGGGTTCTGCAATGATATTAAGGCAAATAATTCATTAGCCAACTAATATTTCATTAAGGAAGACTGGAAAAAAAATTAAAATTCAAAATTCAAAATTTTACCATTGATGGGACAGCAGGTATAGCTCCTGCTCTGGCTTGAGCAAGTTCAGCTCTTCTTTTGATTTTACTCAAACTCTTCTTGTAATTGGTCACAAACCTATCAAGTTCCCAAAGTGTTTCTGCATCAACACTGTCAATGTCCACTTCAATCTCATCATCATGTTGAGAAAGCGCCGAATTCCTCTTCTTAATGATCTGGACAATGCTGTCCAGTTTTTCCGAGGGTAAACTCTGAAGGTTTGTGCTGAGTTTCTGCTTCTCCTCATAAGTCATGTCCCTCTTATGAGGATCGTTTGCTTTAGGTTTTTTGGGAACTAGAGTCCTGCCCACTTGAGCATTGGGCTTCAGTTTCGCATCAACAGGCATTGTCATTGATTCTGCTCTCTCCAAAGGATGAGCCTTTCTCGAAATAGGAGTAAGCAAACCCACATCATTAATCACTTGATACCTCCAATCAAGACTAAACTCCGATGCTATAGCTGCCCACTTCTCTTCGAAAATATTTGACAACTCCTCTGCCATGATGTGAACATCCTGACCCTTCGGATTATATGTCATGGCATTATGGAATGTGAGTCTCACATCCTCTGCAAATTCCTTCGGAGACTTGTACCAATTCTTTGCTAGCCTACTCTTAACTGTACCCAAATCCATAGGGTGCTTAATTACATCATGATAGTCACTAAGCCCTAGTGCCTTGGCATCGACTGGCTTATTAAACACCCAAGCATGCTTGTGCTTCATCAACCTTGAAAGCAAATGGTTACAACTCTTCAATGCTTGAGTAGTATACTTGTCTATACCAAACCCATATCCCATTTCCCCACCATGTTTCTTCCCAACATTGGATTTCAATTTTTTGTTGCTTTCTGGGGGTGGTAACCTATCCTTTCCAAGAAGAAACTCCGAGTTTCGGTAATACTGATTAGCCTTTGGGGTTCTCTTCTCTTTCTCAACAAATTCACCAACCCCATGATTGTTCCTCATCACTGAAACACTTAGCTGCTCAAAAGGCCTCGAATCATGACGACCTACCGACCCCACCTCAGAATTCACTCTTGCCAAAACCTTCTTATCATTTGCCGAATACTGTGAATGACTATAGCCAGTCAGCTGAACTTCGATAGCTTCAAGTTGCTTAAATAAATCCCTCACCTGATCTAGCTCATTCACTAGCTTCCTCTTAAGCTCCCTAATCTCATTCTTCGACCTCGATGCTTCCAAATTAATCTTAACTCGATTGCCAATTTTCGTAATAATCGGTTTAACAGCCCCATTTTCGTTGGCTAATTCGCACCCGTTCGGGGCTGGAACTTGGGGCGGCCGATTGTGGCTCAATGAATCATCAGGAACATCATCTAACCGTGATAGAGCTTGCTGTTGCTGAGACGAATTCGCGACTTCGGTAGCTAGGGTTTCCGAAGACTGATGAGGAACGGTGTTACTGCCGTTCTGGTGGTTCTGGTTGTTTGTGGCGGCGGCGTTAGGGTTGTTGTTCTTGTTCTTAATCTTTCTTGTATACACTTTGTTACTTTCTCCCCATCTATGCCTCTCTCTTGACTCGTCCGCACCTAATGTCCCAGACGCCATTCATGAAACCACGCTCAAAAAACCCTAATTCCTCGAACTCGCTCAAAACCCTAGATTTTTTTTCCTCAACAACGAAAATTGAATTGATTCAGAGCGAGACTCGTGAAATCGATAAAAACCCTAATTCCTCAATCTCCCTCAAAACCCTAGATTTTTTTCCTTTCAAAGATACAAAATCGAATTGATTCAGAGTCACGGTCTCGATCAACAGAGACTCGTGAAATCGATAAAAAAAAAAAAAGATGTAAAAAAAAACCCTAATTCAACCCGCTATAAAAAAATCGAAAAATTGCATGAAAACTAAAGTTTTAGAAGCTAAATCAGAACTCCAAAAAACGAGAAATTTACCTAATCGATCGATCTATGGAACAAGAGAGAAATCCAAAACGAAGAAAAATTAGGGTTTCGAATTCGGATTGGTCGAAGGGAAACCCTAGAAGGCGATGCAGAAGATTTTCGATCCGAACTCTTCTCTCTTCTCTGCTTCGCAGTCTACTCTGAGGACTCACAGTGACGTAATCACACGCGCCTGTGGACGAATGATCTAAAGCCAGTTGGTTGCCACGTCAGAGTGGTCCACTAGACTTTGTTGCAGGTATACACGCGCTGTACTGGATCGTCGGCTTGTGGGTACACGTGTGGTGTCCTGGATCGATGTTTGTTTCCTGGGTTCTTCGTTTCCTGTTTGGGCGGTTGGAAAGGAAAGAGAGAAAAATAAATGAAAAATGAAGGTGAGAAAGTTGGAAGAAAAGGTTTGTTTAGGCACCGTTTGGTTAAAGGGAAAAGAAAAAAGTCACCTTTTAACGATGAAGGAAACAAAATAAGGAAAATTACTTATCAGTGAACTTTTCAAAATTTTAATTACAAAATGATGAAAAAGTATATATAATATTACATAGTATTTAATATTTATAAGGAATCTCATTAATTTGAAAATATTTTCTATTGACTACACTGACAAGCAATTTCTCCAAAAAAATATTTTGTTGCTTCGTTCAATAAAATAATTTTTGACATATTTTGAGAAGATGGTTAAAAATTGATTTTTTAATTTTTTTTTTATTTTTATTTTTTAAAAAAAAGTGTAAAAAATGTGAGAGATAATATGACTCGAAATGAATTTTCCAAAATAGCCCTTTATTTTTTAGTGATTTTTTAAAATATTTTTTATTTTTATTTTTTTTGATAAAGTTAATATTTTTAATGTATTATGTCAATTTATGATAAAATGTGCAAACAATATATTTATGGATACATATATATATATATATATATATATATATATATATATATATTTTAAAAAAATTCATATAGATATTTAAAAAATTTGTTAGTGTTTTCTAAGAAAAATTATCACTAAATTGGTTCGGTAAACTCACTAGATTGAATAAGATATAATTTTATCAATAAAAATATAGTGGTGCTAAATACACCAATTAATGTACACACTAGTGTACCAACTAGTATTATGACACATTATTACTGACTCACTTATTATATAAATTACAAATACTCAAAATCTTTAAAATTATGTCACATTATCTGTTAGTATACTAGTTAATACATTAATTGGTACATATAGCATTATTCATAAAAATATAACACACGACACTTTTTTGCATATTTTTCATAAAAAATTGCTAAGAATTGTAATCAATTGGATCAAATTGAAACAAAATCATAAATTCAAAATCAAAATTGAGCTAAATGAAATTAGATGGATTAAAATGATATAATGACCAAAATACAAGGACTACTGTTATAATTTTCCTTTTTTTTTTTGAATTTGGTTTGGGCAAACTCTGATGGTGTCTGTGAGGAAAGACAGGAACGCTAATTTTAAATGAGTAATGCTAAAGATTTCAAATATTTTACTAAAAATTTTATAAAATGTCTCACGTGAGTGTGAGACCTACACAATATGGGTCTCATACCTATGTGAGATATTTGCGAAAATTTTTAGAATCTCTAACATTTTTAATTTAAATTTCTTGTGGGTTTTGTTTTCAATTGTTGAAGAATGTAGCTTGGCCATGCCTCTTAGTTGTATTGATTCTTTTTTTTTTTTTTTTTAAAAATTATTTATTATTTATTATTTTAGCCCTGTACATATACAAATCTGAAAATGGAAGCATGAACTTTCCAACATTTTCTCAACTTGAGCAGACATGAACGCCCCTTGGGACAGCAATTAGATCATTAAAAAAAAAAAAAAAAAAAAAAAAAAAAAAAAAAAAAAACCATCCTGATTTTTTATTTGTTGGTGACAACTTATAAGATGGTTTTAGCCTTACAGTGATCCTAGAGACCTCTAACTTGGAGGCTTTAAACACACCTCTAATGAGGTGAAAAACGAGAAAAAAAAAGAAAGAAAAAAAAGACACATCGCTGACAGTGACACCTCTAATTAGAGGTCCAAGCATTTTTCTTTAACCTTACACTTTAGACCCCACCTAACTTTGTCAATGTTAGGAGTGGACAAATTTTGAATTGGGCCGAACTTGCATTATATGGTAAGGTTATAGATGATATCTCAAGTTTAATTCAGCCTCACATCAGATTTAATCTAATTATTTCAAATTAGACTCTAAAAGAACTTTTAAATTTCAAATTCGTTCACTTAATCCAATAAATATGAGCTATTAATGTTTATTTTAATTGTTTTTTTAAAATCTTAAAGGGTTATTAAATTATTTAGGCTCTTTTAATAACTATTTAAATTTAGAACATTAACAAAATTTAACTGTAAAATAAATATTTTGCTTTAACTTTAACAAAAGTTTTAAGTCGTAGAAAGAAGTTTGTGTATATATATATGTATTATATGTTATCATTTTTTGATTAATTTTGTAATTAAGTAATATATAAATTAATATTAATATTAATATTTAATAGATGGACAAATTGGACCTAGCTGGGCCTCATCATAAGCCTAATTTGAAAATTAAGGGGGTGTTAGAATGTATTGAATAAAGGAAATTAATGCTTTGGTAGCACAAAAATGGTTTCATGAAAAAAAGGAATTTTTTTTGATTGTCAGTTTTAAAATGAGGCTCCTAGGTATTGATGGTGGAGAAAATTTCAATTTCACTCCTATATTTTGCTTCGATTTTCAATAACACCCACAGATTTCAAATAATTTTAATTTTATCTTTAAATTTTTTGAAATCGTATCAATTTGGCTTCTATTGTCACATTTGAAACGGAAAATTAAAAAAAAAAAAATTATATTTTGACTCTAAATTTCAAAAAAAATATGCAAACTCACTATCTCCTACCCAAACTCACCCTCTCTATTTTTTCTTCAATTATTCCCTCTCTCTTCCGTTTTTGCAAGCACTGCCACCACCATCAACCACCACCGCAATCACTCAATTCTTCAACCCAACTTCTCTCGAACCCAAATTCACTCACTCACTCACTCCAAATTCTTAAACCCAAATTCACTCATTCCGAAATTTCTCAAATGAAATTTTCGATTCCTTTTTATCTTCTCTTCTTCATCTTTTACAAACCAACCAGCTAAGCAACAACAAATAGATCAACCAAAGGAAACCAAAACAATGTAAAGTAATGCTTTCAAGAAATTGTTTTCCAAAAACACTTTCCAAAAACAGTCTCACAAAATTCCTTCATTTCTCATTGCCACCACCACCATAAGAGAGGCACAAGAAAGCGGTTAAGCAACAGGAAAGGGATTATTCAAAATAAAGCAAAGTAATCATTTAAAAAAAGTGTTTTATGAAAACACTTTTTTAAAAACAGTCACAGTAGCAACATTTCTCATTGCTATCATGACAACCATAAGATGAACAGAGCTTTTGATTGTTTCGTTCTTGGTGCTAGGTGTTCTTGTTACGATTACATTTGATGCCAATGCCGCGTACAATCATCGAGCACTGGTGATTGACAACCAGAGTCTTGATCTTCGACTCCATTCATTACCCTCGCAACACTTTTGACGTCATTCTCTCTCTCTTTCTCTCTCTTTGTTTTTGAATTTTCTCTCTCTAGAACTTTTGTTGTGTTCTTTTTTTAAAGTATATATAGGAATTGGGTTTATCCTAGAAATAGGTATGAGTTTTATAATTGTTTTGATTACTTTTTGTTCTTGCTTGAGTGTTGTTTGATCAATTACGTCTTTGTTAGTGTTTCTTGAATTTGGGTTTAATTACTTTTAGTTCATGCCCAAGTCTTGTTTGATTAATTGCTTCTATAATAGTGTTGCTTGACAAGTGTTTTTGGAGCTTCATTTTTATAAAACCAAAAGAAGGGCTCACTATTGAAAGAAGTTGGGTTTGAGAATTTGGAGTGAGTGAGTGAATTTGGGTTTGAGAGAAGTTGGGTTGGAGAATTGAGTGATTACGGTGGTGCTTGGTGGTGGTGGTGGCAATGCTTGCAAGGGTGGAGGAGAGAGGGAAGAATTGGAGAAAGATGAAAGATGGTAAGTTTGGGTACGGGAGGGTGCATTTACATTTTTCTTTTAAGGGTAAACTATGTGAGAGGGTAATTTATATTTATAAATTGGGCCGAGTTGGGCAATGGGCCGATATGGGCCACAATAGGGAGGACAGAGTAAAAAGACCTTGAAAATTAGTCCGGTCCCAGAACCTTGAAGTTAGTTCGATCCCAGACGGCCTTAAAGTTAGTCCGGTCCCTGAAAGCCTATTGTTATCTTGGTCCAGGAGAGTACTACGGATAGCTCGGTCGCCAGGTTGCCACACTCAGAGTTAGTACGGTCACGGTATAGCGCAGCTAGCTCTGTCGGACCTAGCTAATGGTTAGCACTATCTAAGTAATACTATGGTCAACACTGGGAAAACCGTGGTAGGAGCAGTGAATGGAAGAACTGAGGTAGAGTTATCTCGGTCTAGTCTGCGGCTTAGCATAGCCATGCTTACCTTGGTCATGTTGGAGTCCGGCCATGGTAAGACCATCTCACTTGGTTTAAGCAGTGAGGGGGATGTTGAAGGATAAGCATTATCTTTTAGGAGAGTGAATCCTAGGAGGACTCTACATGGGGGAGTAAAAGTCCTACTAGGATTGTGCCACACGGAACCTATAAAAAAAAGCTCACAAACATCACCTATAGAGAGGTAACACAACTTTGATTCCCAAACACACAGAGCTTTTTGTCTATTTGTCTATTTTGCTGGCTTAGGCATCGGAGAGGTATTCGGCACACACCCGCCGGCTAGCTCACGTTTATGTTTTCAGGGAGTAAAGCGACGACGTACGGAGAAGCGTAGACTTGATCAACAGGATTATACGGGAAGAATATTTCGTGCTCATACAATTGGCGTCGTCTGTGGGAAGATCAGACTAGAACAAAACCTCTTGATCAAACTTTTCCTCTTTAAAAACAATGGCGCACAATGAAGATTTGCCGCAGTCCGCCATCGACGGAAAAACACCAAAGGGGGGTGCAAGACGTGAAGGCCTACCTTCTATCCCTCCCATGGCGGACTTGGAGCCACAACGACAAAATCCCAGGAGGGATGCAAGAGGGAGGCGGACTAACAGCCCCCGTCACTCTCGTTCACGAAGTCTTGACAGACAAAGGCAGAGGATTGATCCTCAAGTTCTGGAAGACCGCGTGAAGGAACAAGATGAATTAATAAGGAAGACGGCGGCGGACATGGAGGCCATGAAGCGCCAGATCAAGGGAAAAGGGGTAGTGACAGGAGAGGGGCGCAAAGGCAATGCGTCTCCTCGCCACTCAGAAGATCGTAGTAGGCATACCACGACATCGCAAGCAGAAATTAGAAGCCTCAGGA